TAGACAATGGTGATCTGTATAAAAACAGATTATCTGTAAAAATCTTATTAAAAAACATTGAAAAGTTGGTAACGTCAGAGATTGGCGCTTCACAGATTCTGATCTTGTGAAAGCACATTTGTGCAGTGAAAAAATATTACATTGACAAACAAAATGATGCTACTGGAGCAATTGTAAGCAAAATAGATTTCAAGTGATAATTTGTAAATGTATGTTGTTTAATGCTCCTCTCGAGAATTTTTCACTCATATGGAGACATCACCATTTGCCGGGGGAGAGCTGCAAATTTTGTCCTATACTTGGCACTTACAGCCATTGAGCAGTGAGGGATCTTTTGCGTGCCAGCACCTACAGCAACACGGGACCTCGGTTTATACGGTCTCATCCGAAGGACTGGTCTCCACGTCCCACAGTGGGATTCGAACCCGCGACGTAAGGATCAACTCCTTACTTCACGACTCTAGAGCAGACGCTCTAACCACTGCGCCAAGCGGGCAACTTTCAAGTGATAAAGAAATGTTTGATTTTAAAATTAAATGACAATTGAATTCTATTAAAACACATGAAATGAAACTTTATACATCAACAAAATACATATTTTTTAGGGATGTCAAAATATTTATTTTCCTTAGTTGATTATTCGTTGCATTATTCGAATGATTGTCAAATATATTCAGAACATTTTCTGAAAATAAAATTGTTTATCAAACTTCACTGGTACATGATGTATTTATAACTCCGAAACCCATTTACTTTAATCTATTTAAAAAGTAACATAAAAATTTATGCAACGTAATGCGTGGATAGCATGAATATTTGAATTTCGAAACCTAATTCTCCAAAATGTATGATTTCCCTGTCAATAGAATATGAAATAAATTAGGGAAGAGGGTTTATCTCACACTATCCACACATCAAGTACCTGTGAAATTGTTAAACAGTTAGATATAATATACTGCTTATTTGACAAATGTTTGCTCTGGCTATCAAAATGTCCTTATACAGTTTAAAATGTAAACGAATTGTTTTAATAATTATCGAAGTGTCAAAACATAACACAGTTATGGTTTCTTCCTTGTGTTTGAGCAATCTTAAAATAACAAAAAATAATTGGTACATGATATAAGATCAAGTCCAATTAATAATTTTACAAATAAAGCCTAGTAAATTGGTTGGTCATTAATTACAAAAACAACACAGGAAGTTACTAATAAATAATTCCCGCAGTACGCAGCTGTAGAGAAGCACTTATGATTACTGTACTTTCTATACATACATGGAAAATCAACCGTTTTTTGTTGAGGAAAATTATCTTATCCACTGTCTCTGAGGAAAGACGTCTTCTCAATTTTGTGATGAGAATTTCATCACGTTATCACTCTTTTATTGCATTTATTTAATTATGATAATATTCGAATGTCGTTTCATTATTCGATCGTTGGTCCATTTGACTGATAGTTGAATAGTCGACTATTCGTTGACATCCTTAATATTTTTACATATGATAATGTGCTCATTTTAAATTTCTTAAAGATAGTATAACGAAGATTGGCATAGTCCACGAACTTTCCAAACAACTCTCATACTTAGTGTAGATTCTTTTTTTTTTTTTTTTAGTGTAGATTCAAGTTTGTTCAAATCATAACCAACCACCCCCTCCCCCCCCCCTTTTTTTTTAGGGGTAGGTCGGGGCCACTTATGCATTTTTACTTTTTAATACTGAACTAATTTCTGCTTTTTTAGCTCTACTGGTCAGAGACCAGAAGAGCTTATGCGATAGTAAGGTGTCCATCGTCCATCCATCCGTCTGTCTATCTGTCTGTCCGTCTGTAAACAATTTTTCAAAACGCTACTCCTCCTACAGTTTTGGTTCAATCTCAATATAACTTGGCACACATGTAGACCAAAGTAAGATACATAATTTAGTGCATCAGTTTTTGATTTCGATGGACGGTGTTGCCATGGTTACTAAAAATAGAAATGTCTGTGAAATTCCTTTAAAAGGCTACTCCTCCTACAGTTTTGGTCCAATTTCAATATAACTTGGCACACAAGTAGACCAAAGTAAGATACATAATTTAGTGCATCAGTTTTTGATTTCGATGGACGGTGTTGCCATGGTTACTAAAAATAGAAATGTCTGTGAAATTCCTTTAAAACGCTACTCCTCCTACAGTTTTGGTCCAATTTCAATATAACTTGGCACACAAATAGACTGCACTATCATACATAATTTGGTGCATTGGTTTTTGATTTTGGTGAACGGTGTTGCCATTGTTACTGAAAATAGAAATTTCTGTGAAATTCCTTTAAAACGCTACTCCTCCTACAGTTTTGGTCTGATTTCAGTATAACTTGGCATATAAGTAGACTACACTAAGATACATGATTTACTTCATCGGTTTTTGATTTCGATGAACGGTGTTGCCATGGTTACTAAAAATAGAAATTTCTTTAAAATGCTACTCCTGCAAAATTTCTGGTCTGCTTTTAATATAATCAGGCATACAAGAAGACTATACTAAGATACATAATATAATGCATCGGTTAGTGAATTCGATGAACAATATTGCCATGGTTACTTAAAACAGAAATTTTTGTGAAATGCCCATAAAACGTTACTCCTCCTGCAATTTTGGTCTGATTTCAATCTAATTTGGCACACAGTTAGAAAACACTATGATACATAATATGTATTTCTGTTTTTTTTTTTATTTCGGTCAATGGTGTTGTCATGGTTACTAAAAATAGAAATTTCCGTGAAATACTTTTAAAACATTACTCCTACAGTTTTCATTTATTTCAATATAACTTGGCACAGAAGTAGACTACATTAAGATACATAATTCTATTTATTGTTGCATGTTGCAAAGTTTCAAATCCAAGTGCTACTTTTCTTTTGTTATACGTACAGACCAGTAGAGCTACAGTCTCATCAGAGACTTCTGGTTTTTTAAAGAAAGCCTTTTCGGAATCTGCTTTGCTGATTTGAAGCACATGGAAAGTTTGTGCTAAATTTGAAAGTATTCCAATTTAGGTTTTGAAGTTATTTTTCCTCTCCCAAATTATTAAACAAGTGCATCATGTATTAGGCCTACACTTTCTTTGAACACTATATTTTATCGAATGCAAGTTGTTTTCCAAGATTCCTTTATACGTACATAAATTTGTTCCTGCTGGCTCTAATAACGATCTCGTTCTATCAGAAGCCATTTTAAATTGACTTCAAACTTTGATTTGTCAAAACAACTCCCAGGTAATTGTTTACACCTGCACTGATAATTTACTCAGTCTGGTACATAGCCATCGGCATTGTTTACGTAGATCCAAGCTTGGGTTGTAACTGGAGGTTAAAAGTGAAACCTAATTTATGAACCGGAAATTGGGAGATTTTCGGGTTGTTTGGCAAAAATCGGATGAAAAGCAAGACCCGTCGTGTCATAAAAAATAATTGGGTTAAGGGTTGAAAAATCGGGTGTAACCTGATGAAATTGGGTGAGTTGGCAACTATGCATGGTATAGCATTTTTTTCAGCATTAGCCATGACCACAACTTGGGCAAACAAAAATAACTCTTGTCTGAAGAGCTAGGTTCACTTTATGCATATAATGGCCCTGTAGATATACCGATTTATTGACTAACACTTTATGTTCCATTTTAAACATCAAGATAAAGTAGAGACTTAGTGCTTTAATATCGTATTAAAAATTTTCTCCTTAAAGCAAAGGTCTTGGAAAACAGACTTCATGGAATTGCAATGTTCTTGAATTTTAAGGAAAACAAGTATTAATTCGAGCCCTTTCAAAGAAGAGAAATAATATGAGCGCACCCTCTGATCTAAAAAATAAAACATGTTTTGTAATCCTCAGAAATAATTCAATCATTTATTAGTTGCATATTTTAGATCAGAAATTGCGCTCTATATTAAAAATCAAAAAATAGCTTTAAAAATTGGCTGTTTTTGTAGAATTTTTCAGGATATGAGGAAAATGACGCATTTCATGATGTCATAATGCATTGACTAGCCAGAAAATTACGTCATTTTTGATAGATACGCAGTCACCAAAGGTCTAAATGATATTTAATGCATTGTTAACTAAAACCAAGCAGCTTCAGTTTTTCTGAAATTCACATGGCCAAAAAAGGCCCTAAGTGAACCTTGTTCTTTAAAGCTCATTACATTGAATATTATCAACATAAATCATTATTATCATCTCACAGATCTTCAAAAAATATATTAAATTTTCAAAATGTCAGGAAAAGGTGTTGCACTCCTGATATTTTTAGCATCATTTTTATGCACCCGCCATAAAAAGGGCCAAGGCGTATTGTGTTACCCCATTCTGTGATTCTGTCATTCTGTTCTGTCATTATTCCCTTTCCATTCCTTATCTTTGCAATGGTTGCACACATTCAAATCAAATTTGGACATACAGATACGTCATAGGAATACACTGGTCAAGTTCGAATTTGGTTAGGGTCCGATGATTTTTGACAGAGTCATCCCTCTTGAACTTAGAGTAAGAAATTTTCAGTTTCTGCTCTCTAACTTTTGTAGGAATGTATGTACAAGGTTGAAATTTTATATGCAGGTATTTTACCAGAAAATACAGGTCAAGTTCGAATACAGATTTAAAACTAATTATGTCATTTAAAATTTTGGCTGCCTGCGGGGGCATTCATGGCGCTACAACACATCTAGTTGGCATAAATTTTTCATGTATTTGGTGATTTAATTGAGATGTCAATCAGATAATTGGCACTTAATTAGCAAATATAAAAAGACATATGCTGAGTTATAATTTTTTTCTTCTCCTTGCCTGTATTTTAAATGCAGACTCAGGAGATCTGATCCTTTTTTTTATTCACCTATATGCAAACACCTCGTAAGACCAATTATGATTTGTTGGATTGCATGTACAGTGAATATAGATAGCTAGCAAATATGCCATTGTATTTTTCAATGATTACATAATAGTCCAATTCATATTTTGTTAAAGGTGAGATGACGAAGACTTTTGAAATGCTTATACAGGATAAATGTTTGAATTCAGACCCAAAACAGAGACCTAAAATCAGCAGCTTAATGAATGACCAGTTATTTAGGTAGGAATGCACATATTGTTTTTTTCATATATTTTTGAGTGAAATTAAGTAAAAATCAACTGTTAAAACTTTTCATGTGAAATCTTTTGAATTGGTATAAGTATATTATGTTGACAAAATGCATTAATACCTGGATGTGTTTTAGCTCATCTGAGCTGAAGGCTCAAGTGAGATTTTCTGATCACATTTTGTCTGGCGTCTGTCTGTCCATCTGTAAACCTTTCACATTTTCAACTTCTTGGGGATAATTATGAGTTAGGAAAAAAAAACCAAAACAAAAAACAAAAAACAAAACAAAACAAGAGGCCCAAGGGCCTTAACGGTCACCTGAATATAATACAACAATTTCGAAGTTAAATACACTGATAGATGAAGCAATGTGCCCTAAAGCAAGAGAAGTAGGAAGATCAGGATCAACAAAATAATTAGTCTAGTATTCAGTATCAACTCATAAATTAAGTTCTAATCTGTCCCCCACTTAACACTATCACCATGCAGACTATTAACAAACTATTAGTGCTTCTGTACTATTTTTATACCCATATTAAGACCTCTAGCATTGACCTCTCTTATGGTCTTTGAAGAACTTTTAATAAGATAAGTTATTTTTGTCTCATTTTTAGCTCACCTGAGCTGAAAGCTCAAGTGAGCTTTTCTGATCACCCGTTGTCCGTCGTCCGTCCGTCTGTAAACTTTTCACATTTTCGACTTCTTCTCAAGAACCACTGAGCCAATTTTAACCAAATTTGGTACAAAGCATCCTTGAGTGAAGGGGAGTTTAAATTGTTAAAATAAAGGGCCAAACCCCCTTACAAGGGGAAATAATCAAGAAAAGACAAAAATAGGATGGGGTCATTAAAAAATCTTCTTCTCAAGAACCACTGGGCCAGAAAAGCTGAAACTTATGTGGAAACATTCTGGGGTAGTGTAGATTCTAAATTGTTAAAATCATGACCCCCGGGGAAAGGGCGGGGCCACAATAGGGAATCCAAGTTTTACATTGAAATATATAGAAAAAAATCTTTAAAAATCTTCTTCTCAAGAACCATTGAGCCAGAAAAGCTGAAACTTACATTGAAATATATAGAAAAAAATCTTTAAAAAATCTTCTTCTCAAGAACCATTGGGCCAGAAAAGCTGAAACTTATGTTGAAGCATCCTGGGGTAGTGTAGATTTAAATTGTTAAAATCATGACCCCCGGGGAAAGGGCGGGGCCACAATAGGGAATCCAAGTTTTACATTGAAATATATAGAAAAAAATCTTTAAAAATCTTCTTCTCAAGAACCATTGAGCCAGAAAAGCTGAAACTTATGTTGAAGCATCCTGGGGTAGTGTAGATTTTAAATTGTAAAAATCATGACCCCCGGGGAAAGGGCGGGGCCACAATAGGGAATCCAAGTTTTACATTGAAATATATAGAAAAAAATCTTTAAAAATCTTCTTCTCAAGAACCATTGGACCAGAAAAGCTGAAACTTATGTTGAAGCATCCTGGGGTAGTGTAGATTTTAAATTGTTAAAATCATGACCCCCGGGGAAAGGGCGGGGCCACAATAGGGAATCCAAGTTTTACATTGAAATATATAGAAAAAAATCTTTAAAAATCTTCTTCTCAAGAACCATTGGACCAGAAAAGCTGAAACTTATGTTGAAGCATCCTGGGGTAGTGTAGATTTTAAATTGTTAAAATCATGACCCCCGGGGAAAGGGCGGGGCCACAATAGGGAATCCAAGTTTTACATTGAAATACATAGAAAAAAATCTTTAAAAATCTTCTTCTCAAGAACCACTTAGCCAGACAAACTGAAACTTCTGTGGAAGCATGCTGGGGTAGTGTAAATTCTAAATTGTAAAAATCATGACCCCCAGGGAAGGGCGGGGCCACAATAGGGAATCCAAGTTTTACATTGAAATACATAGAAAAAAATCTTTAAAAATCTTCTTCTCAAGAACCATTGGGCCAGAAAAGCTGAAACTTATGTGGAAGCATCCTGGGGTAGTGTAGATTCTAAATTCTTAAAATCATGACCCCTGGGGGCAGGACGCGGCCACAATAGGAAATCCAATTTTTATATTGAACTATATATAAAAAAAATCTTCTCAAGAACCACTTGGTCAGAAAAGCTAAGACTTTTGTAGAAGCATCCTGGGGCAGCGTAAATTCTAAAGAATTCAAATCTTGACCCCTGGGTGTAGGGCGGGGCCACAATAGGGAATCCAAGTTTTACATTGAAATATATAGGAAAAATCTTCAAAAATTTTCTCCTCAAGAACCTCTTGGCCAGTAAAGCTGAAACTTATATGGAAACATCCTAGGGTAGTGTAGATTTTAAATTGTTAAAATCATGATCCCTGCGGGTAGGGCGGGGCCACAATAGGTATTACAAAAAGATCATCTGGTGAAGAACAGCAGGGCCAAAGTTATTCAGGTGAGCGTTGTGGCCCATGGGCCTCTTGTTATTTATCTATTACTTACAGGTCTACCTGATTATTAAAACTAAGAAAGTACCTTTTTAATTATACGATAAACATTCTTGCATAATTATCTTATTCTATTAACCTTTCAAATACATTATTTACAGTGATTAATTATCAAAGGTGAATGGAAAAGGGGAATAACTTCTCTCAGTAGAATACAAAGTAATAGAGCCCTGCCCAGGACCAGAATGCTTAGACGAATGGTCCAGATGTTTAAAAATCTGGTAGAAATACACTTACTCATATCATTTAAACTTTTACTCAGTTTGCTTCGAATATGCCCAGAAGCAGAGAAGAATTTCACGGGTACAATGCATTTTCACTACAGATTCAACAAAGCCTTACCCTAACACCAGAACCCAAGACCAAGGGTCAAGAAATTTACAAATTTGGAAGAGTTACCCTCATCATCATAACAATGAACTTCAAAGAATTAACACTTTTCCACTATATTATCAAAAGCCCCCCCCCCCCCCCTCGTTATGCCAGAACCCCTCACCCTAGGACCACAAGATTTAAAAATTCTGTTCAAAGCTCCCATTTTCATCATAGCTAAGCAATTTATTTATCAGCTCAACACTAAGGAGCAGACAGGATTAATTAATGATTAATTAATAGAATGAATGCTTTTTCACTATATAATCAATAGAGAGCCCCCCCCCCCCCCCCCCCCACCACCACCACCTCAAGAACCCCAAAAACTGAGGCCATATATTTAAAAATTTTGGAAGAGGCATCCTTGTCTATCATAATCATGCACTTAGTTTGTTTAAATAATCTCCAGTAGCAGAGAAGAAGATTTTCAATGCATTTTCACTATATAATCAATAGAGCCCCACCCTAACACCAGAACCCCTGACCCTGGGGCCATGAAATTCACAATTTTTGAAAAGGCATCCTTATGCATCATAACCATGCACTTAGTTTGTTTAAATAGTCTCCAGTAAAAGAGAAGAAGATTTTCAAAAAATCAATGCATTTTCACTATATAATCAATAGAGCCCCACCCTAACACCAGAACCCCTGACCCTGGGGCCATGAAATTCACAATTTTTGAAAAGGCATCCTTATGCATCATAACCATGCACTTAGTTTGTTTAAATAGTCTCCAGTAGCAGAGAAGAAGATTTTCAAAGAATCAATGCATTTTCACTATATAATCAATAGAGCCTCGCCCTAACACGAGAAACCCTGACCCTGGGGCCATGAATTTCACAATTTTGGAAGAGGCACTCTTGCTCATCATAACTATGTACTTAGTAACTTTATTTAATACCCAGGAGCAGAGAAGAAGATTTTCAAAGAATTAAAGCATTTTCACTATATAATCAATAAAGCCCCACCCTAACACCAGAACCCCTGACCCAGGGGCCATGGCTTTCACAATTCTGGAAGAGGCCCACCTCCTCATCATAACTATGTACTTAGTTTATCACCTTAATGCCCAGGAGCAGAGGAGAAGATTTTCAAAGAAATAATGCATTTTCACTATATAGTTGATAGAGCCCTGCCCTAACACCAGAACCCCTGACCCTGGGGCCATGAATTTCACAATTTGGGAAAAGGTACTCTTGCTCATTATAACTATGTACTTAGTTACTTTATTAAATATCCAGAAGCAGAGAAGAAGATTTTCAATGAATTAATGCATTTTCACTATATAATCAATAGAGCCCCGCCCTAACACGAGAAACCCTGACCCTGTGGCCATGAATTTCACAATTTTGGAAGAGGCACTCTTGCTCATCATAACTATGTACTTAGTAACTTTATTTAATACCCAGGAACAGAGAAGAAGATTTTCAAAGAATTAAAGCATTTTCACTATATAATCAATAGAGCCCCACCCTAACACCAGAACCCCTGACCCAGGGGCCATGGCTTTCACAATTCTGGAAGAGGCCCACCTCCTCATCATAACTATGTACTTAGTTTATCACCTTAATGCCCAGGAGCAGAGGAGAAGATTTTCAAAGAAATAATGCACTTTCACAATATGATCTATATAGCCCCACCCTGGGGCCAGAACCCCTGACCCTGGGGCCATGAATTTCACAATTTTGGTAAAGGGCTCAATGCTTATTACAATGATGCCAACAGTTTGACTGCTTGACGTCCAGGAGTAAAGAAGAAGATTTTTAAAGATTGCATTATTTTTGGTGGTTTTAGCCCCACCCCTCAGGCCCCAGGGGGGCAGGGACCATGAAATTCACAATTTTTGTTCCCCTTCACCTATAGATGCTATATGCCAAATTTGGTTGAAATTGGTTGAGTGGTTCTAGAGAAGAAGTTAAAAATGTTCAAAAGTTAACGCATGATGGATGACGCACGACGACGGACGAAAACAGATAGCAATAGGTCACCTGAGTGACTCAGGTGACCTAAAAACGGCATCTTTCAAAAAATCTTTTTATCAAGAACCACTTGGCCAAAATATATGAAACTTATTTGGAAGCATCCTCAGTCAGAGTAGATTCAAATTTGTTCAAAACGTTAATGTAGTCTGTACCACATGAGTGCC